GCTGGACTCCGCTTCATCCACGGTGAAAGCCGATCCGGCAATCCACCGTGCGAAGTTGATGTATTTCCTCAGCGACCAGCACAGATCAGCTCCAGGCATGACGAAGTGATATCGTCCTCTTTTGGAAGACCAAACAAAGTAGTTTCGCTTTAACAATGAATCACACAGCGCCTTCACGACATGGCAGTGGCGGCAACAATACTACAGCGAGAATAAAAGTTACGCCTTCTTTCTTAGCGTGAACATTTGGGCGGCGTTATGCAAATCTTCCCACATCGTGACGTAGATATGTGGGGGCGTATTAGAACGAGCCGTTTTAGGTAGGTGTGGCTGACTCTTAACTTTTATAAAGAATATCTCTTTGGATTTGAGACTTTAGTCTTTGCAACTTTACAGATCTTCTTTATGCACCAAGAGCTTGTAACACTCCAAAGAGAAAGGAAAAATTGAAATCGCATCATATGACCCCTTTAAATTAATCAGACATTCCATCACTAAATATGAGTGAGGTGACTTTTCTAACGCTACATATGAAAGAAAGATGACAGTTTAGGATAAACCGATTAATTCGAACAAATCAGAATTTCTATCAATATATATGAGAGAGAGGACCATTTAAAATGATCCAATTCAAGAGAATGAATATGAATTTTCTAATACTAGAACATATGAGAGAGAGAGGTCCATTTAAGAACTGATTCACTAGAATAAGTCAGACTTTAACACTACTAACACTACAGAGAAAGAGAAGACTATTTAGGATGAAATAATTGACTTGAATCAACAGACTTTCCAACACTAACAATGTATGAGAGAGAGACAGAGAGAGGACTGGAATGGAATTGAAACACTGCATATGAGAGAGAGGACAGTTGAGGATGAACTGATTCACTAAAATGAATCAGACATTCTACACCACTAATAATGTTACCAAAAATATAGTTAGTAGCATCACTACTTTTTTAGTTAGATACTTTCCGACACTGCTTGAAATATGATGGAAGTCATATGGGCTCCTTTTGAAACTTTTTTTGACTATTTTGGAGCTTAAAAGGCTCCAATTGACTTTTTTCTCCTGTTCAAAATATATTTTGTGTTCCATGGGAAAAAAATCATACAGGTTTGGAACGACATGAGGATGAATACATGATGACAGAATCATTCCTGGTCTCTGAATTGTGCAACGCACCTTCCATGTGATTGAAAGGGTGCCTGGGTCGATGGAATCACTGCGCACTCCTTCAGGGTTACTGTCTGGAGCTGTAGAGGACAAATCATAATTTAGTGCCAAGATGTTCTAACATGGCAATAAAACTGTCACTTCATATCAGCCACATGCTGAGAAAAGACACAAACACAAATCCAAAACGTCATACAATGATTCAGGGGACAAAACAAATGCATCACAATGTGGCGGTACAAGTCTTTTCTGTTTTAAGGCTATGTAAACACCCACATGCACACACGTGCTGTGTTACTTACGAGCTGCTGGTGTGGAAAAGACGTCCGTGTACATGCTCGGGTCACTCTTGCCGATGTCATTGATGGCGATGACTCGGAAACGGTAGGAAAGGAAGGGCTTCAGGGAAAGGGTGGTTCGCTGATTGTTGCCTGACACGCGGCTTAGCTCCTCCCATTCTTTTCTTTCATATTCAGTCTCCTCAAACTCAATCAAATATTCTAGATATATATAAACACGTACATATACACACAGAACAGGAGGAAATGTCACTGATTTTATCAAAGACTGGCCCCCAAAAAGTGTTGGACTCTTCAAACACACTTAAAAATGTATGAATGCAACTGCATTACATATGAAATATGAAAAAAAGGCATTTATTTGACAGAAAGCACACTTTTTAAGAAACTGGGGTTCGTGAGTTGATGAAAAGCTCAAAATTGAAGTAAATTATTAAAAACTAAAATACGTTAAAAAACAAAACAAGTCAAGATGAAATACAAAAAATATATTAAAAAAAATACAAAAATGTTTTATTTGTTCACTTGCATGTCATGTGACTAGTTACCAACATCAGAGAATCATGAACTGATGAAAATTTAAAAACTGAATTAAATCATAAAAATAAATAAATAAATACAAAATATTTTATCTGTGTAAGTGCATGTCATATCTGTGACTAGTTACCAACATCAGAGAATCATGAACATGTTTTTAAATGACTGAAATGGTAAATTACTGGTACTTTATAGTAAATCTATTTTATAGTAGATATTTTAGTTCTGAGAAAATGTGGTTTGATATTGGTTTGATATTTTGTTTGTGAACTTAACGACATTTATACATATTAAATGTGGCTGAAGTGTCCAAAAATGTTCAAAATGTTCAAATCTTTTTTTTTTTTTTTTTGAGATGGCT